TACAAGATTATAGAAGAAAATCATAAATATATGATAAATTTTAACGAACACATGGAAAAGAAAAACTTTGAAATTACAGTCAATCATCTAGATCTACAAAAACAAACGGAAATAGATGAATTAATATGTAAATATAAAACACTCTTTGCAAAAGACAAATATGATATTGGTACTGTAAAGGGCTATTTGTTGGTAGATAAATATTGTAACAAGAGACCGTACCGATGCAGTGTTGAAGATAAGAAAGAGATTGAAAAACAAATTGCAAAACTACTACAATATAATTTGATTGAAGAGTCTTATAGTCCTTTCGGAGCTCCTGTAACTTTGGCTTTTAAAAAGGAAGATAGGAAAAAAACAAGATTATGTGTAGATTTTCGTGACATTAACAAAATTGTTGTTCCTCAATCACAACCTTTCCCATTAATTGAGGACCTAATGATAAAAACAAGAAATTGACAATTTTTTTCGACGCTAGATGTAAATTCAGCATTTTGGTCTATTCCAATGAAAGTTGAAGACAGGCCGAAGACAGCATTTGTTACTCAAGAAGGGCATTTTCAGTGGACCTGCTTACCATTTGGTTTAAAAACATCCCCCGCCATATTTCAAAGAATACTTAGTAATATTATACGAAAACATAAATTATCAGATTTTACGGTAAATTATATAGATGACATATTAATTTTCTCAAAAACATTTGAAGAACATATTAAACACTTATCATTTCTACTGGAAGCAATTTCAAAAGAAGGTTTTAGATTAAAATTCTGAAATATTTTAAAATTAAATATTTAGGTCATATAATAAAAAATAATAGAATAACCCCATTAAAGGATAATTTGGTTGCAATCAAAGAATTTCCCATACCAGAAACACAAAGAAATGTGAGGCAATTTTTAGGAAAAATCCATTTTTATGGAAAATATATACCAAACATATCGATTATATTAGACCCACTTCACAATTTGCTAAGAAAAGGACAAAAATTCGTTTGGACAGAAAAATGTCAAGATTGTTTTGACAATATAAAAAAACTACTATGCACAAAACTAATACTAACAATTTATGATCCAGATCTACCAATCCATATCTATACAGATGCCAGTATAGAGGGCCTAGGTGCTGTATTAAAACAACCACAAAAGAACGGAGAAGAAAAACCATGTGCATATTTTTCGAGAAAGTTAAATGAATCACAAAAAAAGAAAAAAGCGATTTATCTAGAGTGCTTAGCAATAAAAGAAGCAGTAAAATATTGGTACTTCTGGCTTATTGGAAAAAAGTTCACTGTTTTCTCAGATCATAAGCCTCTCGAAAAAATGAATATAAAAGCAAGAACAGACGATGAACTTGGAGACCTAACTTATTACCTATCGCAGTTCAATTTTGAAGTAATATATTCCCCAGGAAAATATAATTTGGAAGCAGATAGTTTGAGTAGAAATCCTGTTTTAGAACCATATGAAGACCAAGAGGAAACCTTAAAAATAGTTAATCTTATCAAAATAAAAGACATACAAAGAGATCAACAAAATAATGAAGAAATAAAACAAAACGGTAAAATATGCATTTGAAAAATATTTTTTTTTATAAAAGTGTCAGGAAGAGAGAAAAGATTATACTTACAGTAGAATTTAGTAAAGAATTAATAAGATTATCATTATTGTCATATTGGGATACAGATAATGAATAGAAAAATTAAACAATATTATACAGCAAGAAATTTAACAAATAATATTAAAAAAATCTGCGAAGACTGTGAGACTTGTATTAGAAACAAATCTAGACACAAATGTAACTTTGGACTAATGTCTCACTTAGGACCTGCTATGTATCCCTTTGAAATAGTATCCATAGATACAGTTGGTGGATTTGGAGGCAGACGTTCTACAAAAACTTATTTACATTTATTAGTAGATCATTTTACTAGATTTGCCTATATATTAACGTCCAAAACACAAAATTCACAGGATTTCATAAAATTATTACAAAGGGTGTTACATATAAACAAAATAGGTCTTATACTATCAGATCAATATCCTGGAATAAATTCAAAAGATTTCAAAAATTATTTAGATACACAAAAAATACCAATTATTTTTACAGCAGTGAATGCCCCATTTTCAAATGGATTAAATGAAAGATTAAACCAAACTTTAACAAACAAAATAAGATGTAAAATAAATGAAAATAAAGAAAAAAAAGCCTGGACGACTATTGCTCATGAATGTACGGAAAAGTACAATGAGACTGAACACACGGTGACAGGGTTTGCCCCAAAATATTTACTGGAAGGAAAAAATGTTGATGTCTTGCCAGAAGAACTGAAACAAAATGTAACATTTAATGATTTGAAAAAAGACAGAAAAGTTGCATTAGAAAACACTATAAAATCACACAATTATAATAAGAAAAAATTTGACAAAAATAGGGTATACTGTGAATTTGAAGTAGGAGACGCTGTATATGTTGAAAATAGAAATCGATTGAATCGAAAAAAATTGGATGAGATAAAAATTGGTCCATACAAAATTGTGGAAAAATTATCCAAGACAATATATAGAATAGATACAGGGCGAAAGAGATGCGAGTCAAATCTATTTCATATAACGAAACTTGTGCCTGTAATAAAATAGACAAAAATAAAAAAAAAATTTTTTTGAGGGGGAGGGGAGATGTAAATAAAGAGTATTTTATTTAAACTACCGCGCATGCTTACTAATGTTTTATGATTTACTTTGTGGTATTTATTTACTCTCTGAGAAAGATGGTTACATTTTTGAAATAATAATTATAAGTTTATTTTTATTAAATTAATTAAACTAATATAAAAAGCAATAGTGAAATAATAGCATTAAATGTTGTTTCTCTTACAGGTAAGATTTATAGGTTTAAAATTTATTATTATAAAATATTGTAAATAAAATATTGTTTCTCAATAAACAATTCTCTTACAGAGCAACGCAATTAAGTTTTATTTCCAAGAAATCTTATAATCGGCTACTAACTATATAACTCAAAATACCGTGAAAAATACAAGTCACATGCGGTAGGGGGCCGTCCATTAATTACGTGATGGTTTTTTGTCATTTTTTAAACCATCAAATGTGGTAACACTGGCGGCAAAAAAAAAAGTTTGCCGGGGATTCCCCAACGACGTTGTATCGTATCATTACGTTTCGCTTTCCTTTTACTTGTAACGTTGTCAGTTAACAGTGAGTACCTACTTGAGTACAATCTCACATAAATATTGCATAAAAAAATTTGAAAACTAATATTATGGACAAAAAAAGAAAGAAACCCAGTGGTGCATTTAAACGCAAACACGCCAAGAAAGAGAAGAAAATAAACAAAAATTGCCCAAAATTGTAAAGTTTTTTAGTCAGCCTTCTGCGAGTACTTCTGGGCAAATATTTCTATTGATAATTTTTGTAAATAGCTTGCATGGCAATTGGTTAAATAACAGTAAGCTGGTGCAACGTATCTATGAATAAATAAATATATAATAAACCCTTGAATCTTTTCTATTTCGTTTTATTGCCCAATCTACACTAAGTATAAAAATAATTGTAATTTATATTTTTTAGTGTTTAATAGTTTCATTACCTGCTCATGCACGAAAAAGAGTTGATGATAAAGTTGCTTAGCATTTTTAAAGTATTTGTATATTTATTGATTTTACTTCAAAAAACCTTACCAGTTTTGATAGCAGTGGGCCCCATATTTTTATTTTTCCCAGGGCCCTAGGTTACCTAGCTACGCCACTGGTGGTTAACAAATTAATAACTAATGAGTTATCGAAAAATAAATATCGATGAATAAAAATGAACCGCCGGAACGAATGTACGCGCATAACTTCACAATTTCAGTTCCGACTGCATCAAATTGGATAATTCTATTATTTATGTGTTCCACGATTCATGACACGGTTTGTATATAAGATTTAAAAAAAAACGGGTATAAGGCGGTACTTGGGCGGTACGAAGTTCGCCGGGTCAGCTAGTGTAGGTGTAAAACTTTTTTATTGTGCTTGACAGTTTTGTCGATAATGTGCGCAGGCACTAAAAATTTGTAATGAAACAGAAATCTGGAGGATTTTTATTGAAATTATTGGTTATAATAAAAGCTTAAAATATGTATTATGTATAAAATGTGATTATTCAATGGTAATTTGTATTTAACAAAAGATATCTGGAATAAATCAACTTAGAAAATAGTGTGGGCTATTTTATAGGTTGATTTATGTATGTTGTTTTACAATTTAGTGAGTTTTAATAAAAACAGATTGGTTAACTTTAAAAGATAATGCATAAGTATATTTCGAAAGTAGGTTTTCATGTAAAAACCTATTAGGTTTTAAAGGTAGGCCCTCATATTTAAACAGATTTGTTGAAAAGTACATTACATTTACAAGATAATTTTTAAAAGTTCAAAAGCAAACAACTCTTTTGGACTTAACCTGATTTGATAGTATTATCCTAGGTAATTAAATTACTTTCATCAGCCTATGGCTAAAGTTCATAATTGTCAATGTCAAATGTCAGTAAAAAAAATTGTGAAACTTTAACGTCAGTGGCGTTACATTTCGTTAAATGCGCAGATAAGCCATTAATAAAAGAAGAACTTACTTTATAACAATTTGTGAAGAATTTAATAATGGTCTGTGGTATGACTCAAAATGATTATATGATTGTTTATATAAAATAATTCCTTAATAACGTATTAATATCGTTTAACGTGTTGTTTTTGGTAAATCCATGTAGAAAGATAGAATTGGTAATTCAAATTGTTTGGTTGAATGAATGTATTTAAACCGTGTAATGGTCTCCTACGTGAAGTTGGCAGTATTGTGGTGACGCAAAGTGCCATCAAAGTTAAGAAGAAGTGCAGATGCAATTTATAGATAAATTAATCTAAACAAAGGCTTATTTTATTTATATATTCATGTTTCAAGTGTCCTACACTCCTAAGGGCAGTATCCAAACAGTTAAGATGTCTGCAAATCTTCTTTCATAAATATGATTGTGTGGAAATAACACACAATAAATATATTTAAATGTATATTAAATATACAAATATGTCAATTAAATATCAAACAAACAATAGAAAGGCTCTTAATAGTTTTCTAAAATGTAAAGAACAATTAATATAGAATTCTTTTATTTAATGCCTACATACTACATTTATATAAAATCCTAGAAGATTCAAATAAATGACCTTTTTTCTTATCCAAATATTTCATGGAAAGTTGTTCCTTTGTAGCCTACATCACTAGTAGGAGCATTTTGAAATGTAATGTACATTCTGAAAAAAAAAAAAATCATTAATAAAGCATTTCCTTGGGACTGTTGTAATTAACCCATTGGTCCCAGGTGCAGTAGGTAGATGTATTGTTCTCACAGCTTACATATAAATCTGGGCCATTAAGTATAAAGGTCCAGGTCAATATGTTCTAAAATAAATCATCACAAATTATTCTGTCTTATTCACCTGTCAGATGGAATTCCTAATTCCATTTCAACCAAGTCAAACAACACTTTAGCATGCTTCTTGTTAAGCTCTACTCCAAGTCCACCAATTGACATAAGATTAGCGATTGCACATGGATCTGTAGTTCCACCGAAGCTCATAGGAAGATCTGGGATAATAGAAACGGCACAGTACTGAAAATTGAAATTTAGATAATCACCTACCATGGCTTCACAAACCACAATGCAAATATATCTATCTATATTTTCTCGTTGTATCCCATAAAAATAAATCATCGATGAAATAATAAAATAGAAATTCTACATGATACTAATAAAATGGGCACTTTTTTAAATTGACCTTAGAGTGCCCTCAAGAAGTAAGTTTTAATAAGGACATACTTGTTCAGGTTTTCCAAGAGATTTAGCCACAAGTGGAATAGCTTTAGTGACAAAATCCTGTGGAATTTTACTTCGAGGAATGTTAGTTTCAATTCTAAAATGCGGCATTTTCCAAAATTAATTACAAATGCAGAGAACGAGAGCACTATGCCATATAGCATAGATAATACATAATAACTGGTACCATATAGGTTATCAGACGCGATCTCGCGTAGAATAATTTCGTCCACAGAACAATATACTCTATTTCGTCATAAAAACAGTGCTGCCAACTCAAAAAAATAATTTCTGCTAAATAGGCTTTAAAAAAATGCCAAAAATATGCCAAATATTTTCGAAAACGCTTAAAAAGATGCTTTTATCAGAGAAACAGGATATTTATTAAAACTCTTTATAAAGAAACATTTATAAATAAATTTCGAAGGTCCTCGTCGGTATCCTGAGCCGTTCATGTAGCCGGTAGGTGTGGAGCAGATGACGTAAATGCATAAGCCTCATTAGTCCCTTTTTTCGGAAAATTTGATCAGGGACTCACCAAAAAACTCTTTATAATAAAACGGGATTTATCTAACCAAAGACTGCTCTATGACTATAAATCTACGAACACTCTTAGGTTATGTTCAGAATTTTATTTTCTTATAGTTCAGACATATATTTTTTAAGAAAAAAATAAAAATATCTTTAGATATTTTACTTTCAGTAAAATGCTTAAAAATATGCTATATGCTAAACTCAATTTAATTATGCCAAATCACTAGAAAAAATGCTAAATTTAGCCATAAAAATGCTAAATTGGCAGCACTGCATAAAAAGTAAGCTGTCAATGGGGAAGTATTTAAAAAAAAACATTAGTTCCCGAAATCAAATTAGATGTCGCTACGGTACATTTTTGATTTCTCCATGACAATCCTTCCAGTTTTCTTTCATGTTATAAAGTACTTACTCATTCATTTTCCCTGTCCTAATGAACAAAACTATAGATTAATTATTTATATAGATGGATAGCTTCGATTATAAGCATTAAAGTTGAGGAGTGGCGGCTCACTACGTCTTAGTTTTGTAGAAAATGTACAAAAGCATAACAGCATACGGAATGTCAACTCAATTTATTGCCATAATTAATTGATTACGCAAAAAATGAAAATATACGTGTCTCATATTCTTCAATAGTCTACCTGATGAACAGATAAATAAATGTCGTTATCTTTATTGATATAGTAGTGTTAGCTATTAGTTGCTAAAGAAATCGCTAATCTGTTGCTCTTATGATTTATTGTTTTTAACCAATCATTGGTTTTTAGTTTAATGCGGAAGTATTAAAAAAAATATTTTGATTTCTCCATGACAACCCTTCCGGTTTTCTTTCATGTATAAAAGTAAATTAGTTTTCAAAACTCAATAAACAACTCATATTCTATTTGTACATTTTCGTATTTGTATTGATATGTAAGTTTCGAACTGATGTAACGCGATGAGTAGCATAAGGAACTACGCACTTCTTTTTAAAATTACGCGGGCTCTGTTTTACTGCCGTCGACCGTTCTCGCCAAGACTCGAGCGCGGGAATTTAAGTATACCTCTGAGTGAAAATGAACCTTATTATACAGTCAACCGTGAACCGCCTATGGCCGCGACGCGCGTGTTAATAAAACCACTGCTTTACTTGATTGTTATGTAATACTAACTGTGATTACATCTGTTGAATCTTATTTAAACCCCGAGACATACATAATCACCCTTACAGTGGCGCCCAACGTGGGACACGTTTTACCTATAAAGTAGTGAACAGTGAGAAAAACGGTTTGAGAACTATATACAACAAGTTCTATATCAAATATTACGCTACGATATAGGTACAGTGCTGTTAAAGGGAGATTAAACAGCAGTTTCTATGAAACAATAACGTTTTATTATGTAAGTATATATATTAATATTTTAATTTAATGACAACACAAATCTTTTGGAAAACCGGTGTAAATCGTGAAGAAATCTACGAATGTAACACTTGGGCGAGTCCATTTAATGAGGGCGTCGCCGACAAATAACAAGTCCGTCTGGTAAGTGTAATACAGTTTTATTACTCACATACGATCATAAACCAATCATCGCACGGGTTGTTCGAGCGAGAGACAGAAGAGTTTTGACCTGTCACCATGCCGCCGAAACGTAAAACTGGAGTCGCAAGAGATGAGGGATCGGAATCTGACATGGACGTCGAAATGAACCCAACGATGAGATCATCACCAATCACTATGTCTGAAGAGATGTTTCAGACCCTTGTCCCCAATATCACCAGAAACCAAGTGGAAGCAAACCGCTTGCTCATCGAGAGTATTCTAACTACTAACAAATCGAGCACTCCACCTCCTCAACATGAAGGACGACCATATCGGCACGGCAATTTCGCTAAGTGCACTGCACAATTCAACGGAGGAAAGAAGGACGCGGGCAAGCTCGAAGCCTTCATCGACACCATCTAGGTGTACCGCGAGTGCACGAACGTCAGTGACGAACACGCTCTGCGAGGTCTCCCGATCCTGCTGACCGGCGAGGCCGCCGTCTGGTGGCAGGGCGTAAAGTCATCCATCACCTCGTGGACCGATGCCATACAACGACTGAGAGGGATGTTCGGCGTGCCGCGACCAGGATCAAAATATTGCGCGACATATTCTCTTCCGAACAAAACAATGAACGGGCTGATGTGTTTGTATGTAAAGTGCGCGCGTTGTTATCTAAATTACCATACTTAGTGTCAGAAGAAATGAAACTAGATATTGTGTACGGATTATTAGATCGTAAGATAAGAAAACGTGTGCCTCGCGATGCCGTAGATACTTGGAACAATAGATAAACAAGGTTAGGTTAGTAGATGATTCGTTAGCGGAGGTAAGTTCCCTAATCACTGTTAACCCGACCGGTAGTCGTAACCGTTCAAGCGTAGTTCCGAGTGTTAATCCTATGCGCGCCGTATTTGATAGCGCCAATTGTACTAAACGTTATGAAACGTACATTTTCGGATTCGCAAGATGTACCTTTATTGAAATACCCGCGATGTTTGAATGTTAAACATACTGATAGCGTAGCAGCCCGCCCGTCCGCAAAAACGCGCCCGTTCGAAATGTTCATATTGTAAGCTTTTTGGTCACACGATAGATAATTGCAGTAAGAAAATTAATAAAAATGAGTCTAGTTCGCACATCCGTACGGTGTTACGGATGTGGTCAGCTGGGAGTAATACGATCAAATTGCATTCCAGCAAGACGTGAGCGGCTGTTTCTTCTGCCCTCATGCATCCTCTCCACAAGGGGCTGTCAGTGACACCTAGATTGAAAAGGTGCCTGTTAAAGTTGCCATGACCAGTGATTGCTACCCACTCCCGAGGATCGACGATGTCCTCCACGCCGCAAAGAATACCAGTTTCATGACTACATGCGATCTCCGATCTGGCTACTTCCAGGTGAGTGTAGATCCTGATGACCCTGACAAGACCGCTTTTGTGAGTCCGCTCGGATGTTACCGCTTCAAAAGAATGCATATGGGACTACGTAATTATGGAGCTACTTACCAACGTCTCATGGATAGATTCAAATCTGGAAAGGACTACGCAGAAGTCTGTATATTTACGTACTTGGATGACGAATATCATTCTGTCAGAGTCATTTGAGAGCCACATTAAGGACCTAAACATCGTATTTGATAGGCTTACCATGTACAACTAGCCAGTAAATAGAGAGAAGAGTTGTTTTGCTTGCGAGTCCGTGAAGTTTTTAGGCTACGTCATTGTACCAGGGGGAGTGAGGTTATGTATGGCACTATACACACTTTCCACTACCAAAAGGGGCGTACTCAGAAGACCCCAAAGAGTGGGAGCTAATCGGGCAATAAGAGGGTACCGTACAGTGTCATTTGCGGCGGCGTGCGCTCTATCAGGAATGCCTTGGGATTTGGACGCCCAAATCCTGGCGGACGTTTATCAAGAACGCGTAAGGGCACGCGAGCGGGGAGAGACACCTGACTTGGAGAGCCTTGTCCGAGTAAGATGAAGTGCCGAATAATTATCAATGCGCTTGTGGAAGAGACGTATGTTGCGCTCTGAATATGGAACCTGGACGTTGGAAGTATCGGATGAGTGGTTGGATAGAAGGCACGGGATGCTGACTTATCGATTGGTACAGGTTTTGACCGGACACGGATTTTTCGGTCACTACCTGTACCGAGTTCGAAAATAATCAACCCGACAGTGCCATGAATGTGGTGCTGTAGACGATACAGCTCAGCAAACGCTATAGGTCTGCCCCATATGGGACCTACAACCAAAGAGTATTATTATATTTAGGAAACCTACAACGTCAGGCGCTCACTGATGTCACTGATGTTGTAAGGTCTTTGGTGATTTAAAAGAGGCACTATGCATTTAGCGAAGTCATTTACCTACTGCGGAGGGTAAAATAACGCTTTCAGCTTTACCTTTAAACATCGAGATTAGGGTTCTATAGGAAGTTATTGAAATCCTTAAGCTTTAGGTAGCTTTCATCGAACAGTTTAGTATTCGTACGAAATATAATCTATAAAGTAAAACGTAATAATAATTTATTAATTTTTTTTATCTCTTTTTCCATAGAATGTTGGTCCCAGAAATTAATAGTATTATTTCATCAAAATCAGCCAGAGTGGAGTCCCCAGTTCGCGCTGGGATGACGCCGCTGATGAACGTTGTCGTGTTCCGCCCTTTTGCGCCTGTTACACCTCCGGCGTGTGAGAGGACTACGCTGTGCTACTACTTTATATCTATTTGTAGTTTATATCGTAATAAATAATTTTTGAATAAAAAATACTGAATTAATAATAAATCTTCTTATTACAAAATCTTCCGATACTGTTCATGGAGTGACAGAAAGTACAATTTAATAAATATTATTTGGGTTACATTAATTAATTTGCACTTATTTTCACTTGTAACGAATAAGAGAGTTTTTCAACTTTATATACATATTTAAAAAGGACGATTTAATGAGAGTTTTAAATATAACATCTTTATAGATATTTTTTTTTAATAATGGCGTCAATAAAATGGTGCTTGGATCCGTGGACAGAGAAATTGTGCTGTCAAAACTTTCATTTAAAATTAAAGTAAATCTTGTAAGGCACACAGGGAAAGGAAATAGACCATTTTTTTTTTGTTTTTCCCTCAGTATAATATTTTTGTTAATAAATCAGAATTA